CGTCGGTTTTAAAACAAGCAATCAATATGTTATTGTTAATTCAAGGGCTTTTACATCAACTTACAGCCATTTTTACACACAATCCTCCATTTTTAGATGCTCAGACTCATATTGGACATTTGGCTGACAAGTACATTCATGGCCAGGTGAGGCTTGTTCCTCTTATTTCATGACAAATGAAGCAGACTTAATATCTAAAGTTAATCCAAGGTGTTGAATTTCACTGAGATGTCAGTGCAATCCAAGAAGGTTATCATTAAGATGAAAAGCTAAATAAAGTAACCATCAAAAACCTTTGGAGTGGCAAAATCAACAACCTGGTACTTTCTTTAAAAGACTAAATGCACTGACCAACTCTGCAACACTAGAAGGCCTTTTAGTACCCTGATTATAACACTTAGACCTGAAAGTGAATGGCAGTGAATCCATGGTTAAGGAGAAACAGTCTCACAACATCTAATTAAATGAAGTACACCTTCGAGGAGGTAGTCTAAAGAGACGCCTTCATGAATGGAAATGCAGAGGCTTTGACTACAAGGTGTAAACCACTGTTTCCGCTGAAGAACAAAAAGACCAGAGTAGATTTTGAAAGAAGACAAATCTGAAAGAGCCAGCACAGTTCTGGAAAAAAAGTCTTTGGACTGGTGAAATCAAGATTATGTAGTACCACAGCGATAGGAAGAGAAATAAGTCATGACGCCGATGAGCTGTAGTGTACAGTGCAGATGAAACTGAAGGCAGAATGACTCACAGCCAAGCAGCAACTGAAGGTGGCCACATTAAAGGTCACTTCAGAGATACTGAAATCAAGAAACCTGACTTACACTGACTACAAAAATACACACTATATGGCCGGCGAAATGTCTTTTACCAGGTCAGGTTAGTTTGCTTTGGAGCAGCTACAATTCTTCAGCCTTTTCTGACATGCGTGTAGTGGCATAAAGCATAGACTAGATCAAAAAGAAAATAAAAAAATTATTTCACAGATAATAAAGACACTATCAAAACTACAGTAGATAAAACAACAATAAAAAAACAAAAGACCTTGAAAACCAGAAAGGACAAAGCCATCAAGGTGATCGTTACGTTCTGAACCTAAACTGCCTCTCTAAATAGGAATATTGCAGTTATTGATGCCAGTTAAGTAGGTCAAGGGGGAAAGGTTGTGGCCACGAAACAAGTTTGGTCAGTGAAGGCTGAACTCTAGAGGTCACAAACGGAGGTCTTTAATCATTCAAAGTCCCTTTTAGAGACATGAGTTTGAATAAATCCACAAGGGAAATAAACTGCTATTAAATAGTAGTGTTTATGGTCCATGTGGACCGGCCTCTATAATATTCCTCTGAGATGCAGCCATCTGCACTGTAGAAATCACAGACCTCACTAAGTATTTGGAATTCACTCTCCTCCGACCAAGGTAATGAAGCTACCCACCTCTATTAAAAATCCGAAGACATCAGCAAATGATCATCATCTTCGTAGCCATTAGAGCTTGATGAAAAACAGCACGCCTCAACCTTGACCCAAGCCACCTCCACCACCCCCGCCAAACACCACCACCGCACACACACACACACAGAGTCCCCGAAAGATGCTTAAAGATAAAAGAGAATCGACCCGTCAGCCGTATGTACAGAGACTGGAGATCTGAAAGGAGAAAAGCCATGAAAAATGGATGAGAGAAGAAATCCACTTCACCTCCCCCCTGGAGGCTGGCAAACCCCCCACAGCGCTCCCACTCATAATCCTTTCTCCTCCTGCACACACACTCCTCTCCCTGCGCCTCAAACACACGCATGTGGTGTATGCAAACAGGAAGACACGGTAGGCACACACACCGCCTCAGGTCCTCGGTAGGTGTTAGAATTCATCAGTTTGGTGCTAATATTAGTCTTTTATAACATTATAGATGTTATCCGTGACTGATGTGATAAAGCGAGGCTCCATGAATCTTAAATTTATTGATTTATTTTCTCTTGTTGGGATTCAATTCAGAATGCGGGTTTTTTTTCCCCTTTTTGATCAATTTTATAAAAAAAACTAATGTATTAAGAATCCTTGAGCTTAAAGATATGCTGAACAAATTGCATTAGTCACACATTTAATGGAGAGACTCATATTAGTGATTCATAAATGTCTAAATGCTTTCACAGACGCGTTTCTACTGTGACATGAAAACAGGTCTGGCTATTGAAGTGCTGAATATGGGAATAAAAGCATTTTTAAATATATGCTTTTAATGCAAGAGATTGGTTATGAATAACCTTCATATATAGAGGACTTTAACAGGTAAATCTAAAGCCACATCTATCTCTTAGGCTTTACTCTAGGGCTCTCTGCTAAACATTAACACCAGCATCCTAATAGCAATGCAAACATGCTGGTCACTGCCTTAGTTTAGCAACACCAAAAACCAATAAGACCAGTAGCAACAGTCCTTTCATCCATCCATCTTCCACTGCTTACCTAGGGTCATGGGGCTGACTTGAACCTATGCCAGCTGTCAGACAATGAGAGCACGGTGCATCCCGGGCAGGTCGTTAGCTCCAGTATTCAGTAAAAAAGAAAATTATTGGCTGTAGTTTGAAAATTTATGGATCCCAGAGGGGAACATTTGTGTTTGCTTCATTGGCAAAATATCCCAAAGCCACAAATACCACTCTCATGATTCCTTTTAAACAGTGCAGACATTGGGTCAGTAGGTTTAAGGTACCTCACAAGAATTTTTAAGCAACCAAAAATTTAAATACTGTATTTTGAGCCTGCATCACATTTTTTTGGGCTGACCACAAGCTGAACCATTATCTCCCAGCATGGAACATGCACACTCTTACACATTGTTCCTTTGCCACCCAAGACTATTTACTTATCCAACTTAAGGCACTAACATGTACTTGTGACAGCGTGTGAAATGTTCCAGTCAAAGCGACTGCAGTGGCTTAGGATATCGGCGGCCTCCTTCAAGGACTATCTGACAGGTTGGCAGGCGCCTGATGAGGAGGAGACAGTGACATGAAAGGAGGCTGAAGGCTGCTGTCACGTACATTTTGAGTGGCAGCTTATCCTGGTAGCGTGGTAAATGTCTACCTGAGCCCGTAGAATTGTTGTCATAGTTTTTGGCCAGTTTATCTGGGTACTCGTGGCAGTGAATACTGCCATTGTTTAACAGAGCAATGTTAGGTTTGAAACAGAGATGTTAGTTTTCTTTAAATACCTCCCATCTATGACCCATGCAGTTAATGCTGCAGTCAAAAACATCCAGTCCTGTTAATATGAGTGCACATCTTACTTAAAACCTTACATGATTATAGTATTTAGCAAAATAACAAATAAAGGGGCTGCTAAACTACTGGATATCGGGAGCTTTAAGCTACAAATCATGCTCATGCTTAGGTGTGGCTCATAGTACTGAAGAAAAACAATATGTGGACACTCTAGCTCAATCGGGTCGAAGATGAGGAAGTTGTAAAAGTGTAAATTAGCATTAGATTAAAGGAGAATTCATTCTTAGTTGTGGGTGAATAACTGGAATGGTTAAAGAGGGAGCCTTTTCACAGCAGCCTTTTTCACAGCAGGTGCTTTAGGTTTCGGAGTGAGCAGCCGCTAGTTGCAGCTTGCCTATTAGAAGTGGCCTTAATTCACTTTTTCAATGCAGGAAGAAAGAAATATCAAAAGAGCTTGAACATGCCTTGAGAAATGATTATTGCTGTGCTTATAATGGGCTTATAAAGCATGGAAAAACACTGGTAAGGACTGACCATCTGTCAGGGAGGACCAGATCACCTGAGTGCGCTGTGAGGAGATGCAGGTATCCCAAACATCTGTTTCTGTGAGCATGTATGCCTCTGTGTACAATCTGAGAGAAGAGGAGTCATTTTATATGACCAAACGCGCTTGCTGCTGTCGTTGTGTTCTTCGAGAGGGGGTCACCTCCACTCCTCGTGGAGTATAAAGGCAGCGGAATGAGCTGAGGACAAGGAAGCTCATTAAGTCAATAAGGGAGAGGTTTCGTTGTGGATTTATGTGGTCAAATCAAAGAGCAATGAGATGCAGCAGAGAACAGAGAAGCAAAGGAAACAAGAGAAAATGTATGATGGGAAATGCTGCACCAACAGTAGGTTTGTGTTTTTAACTTAAGATCCACGCAACACCTAAAAAATACAGGAAAAATTCGAACAAGATTTCATATTTTTAAAGTTGACGAGTATTGCATACACAGTAGAGGGCGCTCTAAACTGCAATTCGTGGACTGAAAAGTGTTGCGTTGTATGGAGTATTTTTTTTCCTTCCTCTTTTTTTAAACCTTTAATCGCAGTTAATGCTTCAGAAATGTTGATGATTAGATTAAATACAATTGCACCTCTTTATTTCTCCATATCACTCCAATAACGGTGTTAGTGGCAACAATTTTAAGCATTATTAGATAAAATCAAAAGCAACCACTTGAAAAGAAAATGAAACTGTACTGTAAATGAATCAAATAATCCCCGCAGATTAACGCCAAACATTTAGCACACTTGTAGGGCTTATTATTGTTAACTTTAAGAGCAAATCTCTTTTTTTTTAATGTGCCTTCTGCCATCGGGCGTCACTTCATTTAAACACCCATCCAAATTTGTCTCTGGGCCTAATTAAGACTGTAATTAAAAGCACAGCAGCGCCGATAAATTCCTAATTTGACATAGGCTAATGGCCATGCTCATTATAATATCTTTGCGGCCGCGTTTAATTAAAGTCGACCCCTGCTTTGTTTGCACGCTGTAATGCGGTTTGTCTAAATGAAGCTCAATAGAAAGGCAGTACAATTCAAGTTTTGGGAGGAGGCGGAGGTGGAGGAGGATTGAAGCGGGGGTTATTATACTATTGTCCGCCCCTTAATCCGGTTGGCTCAGAGACTGCCCGCAGGCCAATTTGTAAGTGGTTTGCGGAGCTGCCAATCACAGCAGACATCCTCTCCTCAGGCTGTGGCAACGAAACATCTCAGTTGCTGTGTGGAGAGATTTGACGGAGGGACGCTGCTGTACATGGACCATCACTGCGCCTGCAATCCGCCGCCTGTTCACACACACGCATGTAATGCCTCGCTGAAATCTGGACGTACACGTTGGAGACGACACGCGTGTCAATATTCCATCTTTGCATGTATGGAGAGGAGGAACTAGTCGCCGGGTCCGCGGCTGTTTGTCTTTTTTTTTTAAATCGTCCCCCCCTCCCCACCTCCACCTCCACACATATCACTCTAATTAGTCGGAGGCATGTGGAATCTCACCAGGATTAGGAATTGCTTCCCAATAGTGTGCCTGCTGTTGACGTTATGGACGGAGGTAAGAGGGTGTTTTTTAAAAAAATAATTTATTTATTACTCATATTTAATTCTGCTCCGCATAATTAAAAAAAAAATGTTTAAAATTAAAATTAAAAAGTTGGTGGGGGTGGAGAGATGCGTTGGCTCTCCGGCGACGCATATTCGCGTCACATTAATCGATAATTGAATTACGTAGCCGTCAGTTGTGGAGCATGTGATCGTGTTACCATGACAAGTGTAAGGAATTGATACAGGCAACTCTCCATTTTGGTTTAATGCTGACTCCTTTATTTGAATTTCTTCATCTTCTTGAGGGGAGAGAATTAGGCCTGAACCAAACAAGTTGTAAGTTGGATTGCATCAATTGGCTGCTGCAGCGGTTAATTCGCTCCCGTCTGAGAGTAACCTGATTGTCTAAAATCCCAGCGTGCAAACTGTACGCTGTTCACGTGCTCCATTCATGATGCAGAAAAATATTGTGGCACATCCACCCAATCTCCAAAACCTCTATACCGTTTTAAATGGAGAGTAAGACTCAGATTTGGCCACTTCCATACTATTTTTTTTTTTTTTTACGCACCAGATTAAGATGCATAAATTATGCTGTAATTTCTCCACAAGAGCCTATATGTAGTCCTCTCTATTAAGAAAATGTATATACGTTGGTTGTAGGTGTCCCAGTCAACCGGCTATTTCGAGCTGCAGCTGATCTCCGTGGAGAATGTAAACGGCGAGCTGGCGGACGGGGAGTGCTGCGACGGTCCCCGGAGCTCCCAGGACCTGAGCTGCACTCAAGACGAGTGCGACACTTACTTCAAAGTGTGCCTGAAGGAATATCAGATGGAGGTGGCCACCACTGGCTCCTGCACGTTCGGAGCTGAATCTACGCAAGTTGTCGGTGGAAATACGTTTTCTCTTAAGGGCGCCAACAATAACCCGAATAAAGTCGACGATGCTGGCAGGATTGTGATCCCCTTCCAGTTTGCTTGGCCGGTGAGTGATTTCTCTTGCTCCAGTTAAGCCTTTCTTCACCCTTTCTTCAGACAGTGCATCATTTTGAACCCGGTTTAAAATGTAGGGCGGGTTTGGGGTTTTTCCCCCCCCTCCTTACAACAACCACCCGCCACAAAACCCCCCCCAACAACAAAACACCAGAAAAAACTCGGGAGAAAAAAACCCGCTAGTATGCAGAAAAAAGGAGGTCCCCACCAACAACAACCACCAGAAAAAAACATAATATCAAAAAAAGAACAACCACAAGATAAAAAAAAAAAAAAAAAAAAAAAAACCCAAAAACTACAGCTAACAGTTGCTTCCAAATTTAGTTGACAGTCAGTTATTTTGTTGATTATTTCATCTAGAGCTTATTTCTCAAAGGTCTGAGCAACACATCAGTAGCTGAAACCCCCCAAGTTGGTTTTGCTTTTTTTTTTTTCTTCCTATTTTAAAGTGAGTAAAATTTCTGACCCATTATGAAAACTATTGCAGATTACCTTTAACTTTTGAGCAGCTATATCAACAATTGCTTGCCACAGCTCAAATTGAAGCGATTCTCCTTTATACTGTTAAGACTGGAGGCAAGAACCTGTAAAGGAGTCGCAGTTGGAATAGATTTAAAGCAGTGATCCAAAAATGATTTTGTAGCATCTCCCACCTCCTGTCTGTCTTATTACAGAGAAGCTAGACCTCATTAAAGGGGGTGCTTAGCAGCATCCTGTCCTTATGAGAACTGACACACATCGGGGCTAAATGATTGCATGCTTCACAAGGATCCGATTGCAGTTACAGTGTTTCGCAGTGTCAACTGGGTCATCTTTTAAAGTTGCCCTGATATATGAGAATTGGCTTTGTTCCAGGCCACCAGCTTGCACCTGTCAAGGCCGTGATGGGGTGATTACTCTGAAATGCTTTGATATGTAGATGGTGGCGGGTGGGGAGTGCTTCTGCTTTTATGGAGAAATGGTTACGGCAATGCTTTTTACATCAGCAAATTGCTGATTTTAAAGTCAAATCAATTTATTGAGCCTTAGCTCGTTAACTTAAAGGTTGAACCTTATTGTTTGCTACTCGCAGTTTTGTGGGGTGATTGTCGGTGTGTGGGAGTGAAAACTCCTACTTTCGCACATAGCAACATTCAACAGCCAAGTTTTACAGGTGTAGGAGAGTGAGGGGATGCAGCCTGGTTGTAGGTGCTGGTTGGATGAATTCTGTAATACAATAATGAGTGTGTTACATTATGCTCAAAGTTTGAAATATGCATTCAGTTGGAGTGAATGATGCCTTTGGGTAGTAGCTCGGTGTGCACTTCTGGCTGGTTTTGACAACTCTCCGCACCTCTTCAGCACCCAGGAGCCTCCTCTCATGCTGTGCTTGCCAGGTGGCTGCTTGTGGTCCTTCCAGGCCAGTTAACCTCATTTCCCTCCAAATAACTGATAGCTGATAAAGGAGCAATTTTACTGTTTGAGGTTTTTATGATAATGAGTGCTTTCCTTTGGACACTCTAATGTCAAGCACTGTTTTCACACAGCCTCGAACACCTAAAGGCGTTCTTTACTATAAAGTAGCCAGTGGAACTCAATATGCAAACGCAGACGTCTGACACAGTTGGAGTAGACGTTAAAACATCTTTAGGAGGATGTTTTGTGTCAAAGGAACTGTACTGCACATTATTGGCTGCTGTTTAGACCAGGATGTGTGTGCTGTCTTTTGAACTGCTGCTGAGGATGGATGACAAAATCAGCAGCAGTTTCCTAACTAATTGAGTGCTTCAGGTTTTATTATGATAAACTAAGTGAACTTAAGTACAAGTGGTTGACCAATAGTGAAATAACAGCTGCATTTACTTACTTTTTAGGTTCAAAGGAAATAATGTCTAGAAGTATTTGGATACAAAGGCATAATTTTGAGTGTATGTGATTATTTGTGCAATAAATATTCAGTTTAAGTGGAGATGTTTAGCTTTAATTCAAGAGGCTGGGAGAAATCCTATTAACTGTTAAGGAATTAAAGCCATTAGGAGCTGTAATGTGATTGGGCAAATTAACATGATCATAAATTAAAATATTCATTTTCAATTTATTTATTTTATTTTTTTTTGGGGGGGGGGTCTGTTTTTTTGTTTCTTTGTTTTCTTTTTAACTTTTCACTGAATCTGAGCAAAACGTTGTGCTCTACACTTGAATTCATCGGTCTTTACCTGTCTTCTGTCACATTATTGCGTAAACATCAGCAAGCCAGTGACAGCTGGTTGGAAGCTCCGAATGGCCATATGTTAGACTCCCTGCCCAGTGTTGTAGAGGTGATGTTGTATTCCTCGGATCATGAGCCGTTTTAGTCGATTCTTGGCGTGCCTTATAGACATTTTATTCTGTTCCTGGCGCCAATTACTGGTTTGCACCTCATGCTAGTGGAACTGAACGATAATACATCTACCACCTGGAGCAGGAGTGGGCAATTAATTTCCCCATGTTAACCTGAGAAAATGGGCCTGTTGTGGAGGACTGCACCAATAAGCTTCTGACGAGATAAAATTAACAGTGAGCAGTGAGTTCAGCTCATTGTTGAAGTCTCTGCTCACTGTGAGCTCAACAATAAGGGCCCGTTTTCTCATGTGGCCCCTTGGGAACCTTAATTGCCCACTCGGGTACCTGGAGGTGTTCTTCATTTGAATTGATCCGACAAAGGGATTTTTCTGTACCATGGAAAGGATTCCGGGATAATCAACAGCTTTTGTGCAAATAGCCCAAAGGCTATGTTAATTGCCTTTGATCCTTTGAAAAGGATGGAGCACCATATTTATTAACGACTTAAAATGCCTGAAATCTTTCCTCAAACTGAGGCAGTCTGCTGTGTCCAAAATGACTTGATAAAAGGCTAAAAGACAAAAAAAGTCAATGTCTAGCAATATATATTCACCATCAAGTTATATTTCATTTGAGTTGAGTATTCCTTCGAGTCCAACTCAAACTTCATATGGACTAACTACATGGTTCATATCTCATAAAATATGAACCACTGAGGATCTCAACAACTTGAGGCAGAGGTGAAGAGGGCTGTTCTGGTGTGTCGTACTTCTGTTAAGTGCCCGGCTGATAACGTCGCAGTATTCCAGTGCCAGATGTCACAACAAGTCTTCAGGGTCACTGGCTGTGGCCTTGTTTCTTTCCTCACTGAAGAAACAAAGATGCAGTGTACTATTGGCTGTGTCATCTGGTCAACTGCCCATTTCGAGCCACATGAAAACCAGCGAGGGCTGGACTCTTCTGTCATCTTGAATCAGGCTTGAGCAGAATGAATGATTTTATTCCTGCTCCCAATTTTAATCCTTATCAGATGTTGATGTCAACAGAAAAAAATCTGCTTAGGTTTTTGATGATAATAAATGTTCTTGTTCTTCTTGTTCTACTTAAACATACACTTAATTAGTCTTACACTTTCTTATGAAAGCGGAAATTTGAATTCTAGGATCTTGGCTATGCAAGTCTGTGCGTAATTTAGATCGATGGTTATGTTGCTGCTAAAGACACTAAGTTTCAATTAAACCGTTCACCTAAGCTAAATCTGAAAGTGAACATTTAATCTCGGTCTTGTGTAGAGCACTCAGGCTGTAACAAAAAAAGGTCATCATGTATTCCTGGAGACGATTGTCTCCACAGAAATAATGGCTCTATACATCATAGCTTCTTGTTTCATCTGTTCTTCTATCATCACACCAGTATGATTCAGCTGCTAATGGCTGATTTTTATCCATCTTTGGAATTCTCCCAGTGATTCTCTATCTTGTTGTTCTCTTGACAGCATGCCAGTAAAAAGACTGATTAGTGATGCCACCTCTGAGCTCAGCCTCCACTTTCTTCTTCTCTCTCTCTTTCTTCAGTCCTAAATTTACTGCCTATACTCTCGTGGCTTTAAATCTTTTTGTTAGACCGACATTCATATTGTAATTAGGATGTCACCAGAACCAATACTTAGAACTTTTGATTCAGATATTCTGACAACACGATGAAACTTGTGTTTTTCTTTATTACCGTGGGTACCGTGTGCAGCATATCTGCCACTACAGTTCTTCTGGAACTGAAGGGGGCAGCATATGTCTACAAGTGTTCCAGTCTGTCCTTACATACTGAAGAAGAAAGATGTCCATAAGCACGCAAAAAAAACAGCACATGGAAGATTGCGACTAGTACAACTGCTGTGATGTGTCCACCCTAACTTGCGGATAGGAAAGGCAGTAAAACCAATATCCAAGTGATACTGTCCAGCTTTGTAGACAAAGGGAGGAAATCCTTTAAATTTAGTGAAGGAACTATCAAGATCTGTCCAAAGAATTCGAGGGGGAATGAGTTTCAATGCAACATCTCTTCTTAAAATATTATTTTTCTTAGGAAATATTGCTATTTTGTTTGAGATAGCTGGCATTGCAGCTGAAAAATCAACTGTGTTCCCAATGCTAACGTTCAATCTCGTAATGTTAGTAGGCAACGCAGGAGCCATCCTAGCATTTCAGTCTGTGTCCTGTCAATAAAATATAATAATCTTCGGAGGGACTCTGCGTAGAGCTGCTGCTGCTCCACATCAAAATGACCCAGCTGAGGTGGTTCAGGCGTTTGACCAGGATGAGCGCCTCCTGCATGGGGTGTTCTAAGCCTGTCCTACCAGAATAAGGCCTCGGGGTAGACCCAGGACACGCTTGCATCTTTCGGCTGGCCTGGGAACACCACTTCCATGTTCACTTGAATAGGCTGGAGGACGAGGGACGGGGAGGTCTCAGCTTCTCTGCTTAGGCTGCTGCCTCTGCAAGCCAGCTTCAGAAAAAGGATTGATGGATAAAAAATCTGTTTCCCATAGAAATCAATCAGTCTTGATATTTTTTTTATTTTTATTTTTTGTTTATAATCGCAGCCATCGCCATCTGGTGGCCTTCAAATAGAATGCAGGTTTTTCCACATAGAATTCAGAATGCACCGAATTGGTTTCATTTGTCCAAACTGGAA